AACATATAAAAAACAGCCCATCATCACTTGTCATTAGAGAAATGAAAATCAAAACCACAATGGGATACCATCTCATACCAGTTAGAATGGCGATTATTAAAAAGTCAGAAAATCACAGATGTTGGCGAGGCTGTGGAGAAACAGAAACACCGTTACACTGTTGATGGGAGTGTAAATTAGTTCAACCAATGTGGACCACAGTGTGGCGATACCTCAGGATCTAAAACCAGAAATAGTATTTGAGCTCAGTAATTTCATTACTCAGTATATACCCAAAGAATTAATTATATATCATTCCACTATAAAGACACGTGCACATGTATGTTTACTGTATCACTATTTACAAAAGCAAAGACTTGGAACTAACCCAAATGCCCATCAATGATAGACTGGATATAGAAAATGTGGCATATATACAACATGGAATATTATGGGGCCATTAAAAGGAATGAGTTCTGTTCTTTGTCGGGACATGAATAAAGCTGGAAGCCATCCTTCTCAGCAAAGTAACACTGGAACAAAATACTGAACACTGCATGTTCTCACTCATAAGTGGGACTTAAACAATGAGAACATATGGGCACAGGGGAGGAACATCACACACCAGGGCCTGTAGAGAGTTGGGAGCAAGTAAAGGGAGAACATTAGGACAAATGCCTAATGCATGCAGGGCTTACAACCCAGAAAATGGATTGACAGCAGCAGGAAACCACCATGGCACATGCCTATCTCTGAAACAAACCTGCATAAGCTGCACACATGTCTCCAAGAACTTAAAGTATAATAAAAAAACAAATTAAAACTCCCACCAAAAAACTGTTAGAATTAAATAACTATTAAATTAATTTGGTAATGTTTCAGGATACAACATCAACATACAAAACCATCTAATGGCTAGGCATGTTGGCTCATACCTATAATTTCAGCACTTTGGAAAGCTGAGGTGAAAGAATTGGTGAGGATGAACAGTGCAAGACCAGCATGGGCAATGAAATGAAACCCTGTCTCTACAATAATAATAATAACAATAATAATAATAATATGTTTTAAACAAAAAAGAGTTCTTATATTTGTATACTCAAACAACCAAACAGAAAACAACAAGAAAGGACACAACTCAAAATAAAATTAATTCAATTTACAACAGCATCAGAAAAAATAAAATAATTAAGAATCAAGAAGGGGAAACACTTTTACAAGGAAAACTATAAAACATTGCTAAATGAAATTAAAGAATAAATAATAAGGGGAAAGCAAGCCTTTGTTCATGTATTAGAAAACTTGATATTGGTAAGATGTTTATAAAAACCAAAACAAATCTACAGATTGATTTCAATCTCTATCAAAATTCCGATAATCATTTTTGCAAAAGTAAAAAAAATTAATTGTAAAATTTATGTAGAATATCATGGAACCCCAAGTAGCCAAAATAATCTTGTAAGAGAAGAAGAATGTGGGAGATTTTTACACTTCCTGATTTCAAAACATACTACAAAGCTATTCTAATCAAAACTGAGTGGTACAGATAGACACAGAGACAAATAGGGGAGGAAATCAAGACGGGGTGGGGGGGGTTGCGTCCCCACCTGAAACGTGCAACTGGCTTGGAGGGCTGGGGGACTTAACCCCCTCGGTGCTCCAAATCGGATTCTGTGCTTACCTCATCCCTCCTGCAACCCAAGGTCGACGAGAGCCCTGCCAGATGCTTGGGCGCCCTGGGTTGTCGATGCAAATTCGAGCAGCAGCTGCCGCTGGGCATGGCAAGTTGTCACAGGGACCTGGGCGGGAGTTTGGACTAACTCCAGCGGGACAGACCGTCCCACAGAGGGAGGCAGAGTTGAAAGCAGGGAAACAGGCCTGGCAGGCCCCACCTCCACAGAACTCAAACTGAAGCCCTCGCTAGAGAGCTGGGCAGCAAATACAACAGCTTGACCCCAGCCAGGAAGATCTAGCTGGAGGAGGAGAGACGCCATTGGGAAGGCGGGGCCAATCTCACCTGCAGACAAGCTCCAGGGAAGGACCACCCACCCAGCAACCTGACTGAACCCGAGAGCCCAGCATCGCCCTCTACAGGCCAAAAAAGATACAGCTCCAACCTCAACAGAAAAAAACGTCCACTCAGAGACTCCTCCTGAAATCACCAACTTCAAAGATTAAAGGGAGATAAATCCACGAAGATGGGAAAAAAGCCAGCGCAGAAAGGATGAAACCATCAAAGAACAGAACACCTCTTCTCTTCCCAGGGATCACAACTCCTAACCATCAAGGGAACAACAACAACAACAAAAGAATGAATCTGAGGCATTGACAGAAGGCTTCAGAAGGTGGGTAATAACAAACTTCTCTGAGTTAAAAGACCTTGTTCTAACCGAATGCATAATCCCATAGTTCTTGGAGGCTTTGTTCATTTTTTTTTTCACTCCTTTTTCTCTACTCTTGCCTTCTCGTTTTATTTCATTGATTTGATCTTCTATCTATGATATCCTTTCTTCTGCTTGATCAATTTGGTCGTTGAAACTTGTGTATGGCTCTCAAAGTTCTCGTGCTGTGTTTTTCAGCTCCATCAAGTCGTTTATGTTCTTCTCTAAGCTGGTTATTCTAGTTAGCATTTTGTCTAACCTTTTTTCAAGGTTCTTAGTTTCTTTGCATTGGGTTAGAACAGACCTCAGTGTATGATGTCCCCTTCCTGTGTCCATGTGTCCTCATTGTTCAATACCCGCCCATGAGTGAGAACATTCAGTGTTTGATTTTTTGTTCTTGTGTCAGTTGAAATGTGGTTACTTTCTATTGAGCAAAAGCACTGAGGGTCAGGGCAGAGTATAGCACAAGGAATGATACCCCTGTACACGGAAGGGGCTGCTGTTAAAGCTCACGATCAAACATCCCCAGAAATAGGTCAGAATCCATGAGAGGGGAGGTGTCAAGGGTTAGGTTCCTGATTTGGGGGCACAGTGGTTTGCAGTGTGTGCAGCCCTGATTTGGGAGTCCAGGGAAGTGAGGGCTGAGGCCCAGCAGAGGCAAGAGGGTTTTGAGGTATTATTATGGGTCATGGTGCCTGTGCTCACCTTGGTAATGGGTGAGAGTAAAGGTCAATTAAAAAGCTAGAAAGCAGTGGAAAATCGGGGTTCTGTATCTGACTGAGGGTAGGAGATCCAGCCCCATCTGAGGCAGTCTTATCCACCCACTCTCTACCTTTTTTCTCCCTGTCTCCTTCCAAGGGAAGGCTTCCATGCTATGGTGTCTATGCTGCTCTTTTCCATCACAAACAGAGCAGGAAGGAGGTTATCTAATGACTAAGTTTCTTCCTCACACTCAGTTTTCTGGTTCGCCTTAGGAATTCTTCGGGAGAATGGGAATATTTTGTTTTATTTCTGCCCTTCAGTAAGATTCCTGCCATTAGTCCAAGGAGACTGACCGCCTCCTGTTGACACAAGATTATTTACAGCATACATTGTCAAAAAACATCATCAGCTTCAGAACAATTCAATTAATTCTTCAGAATTATAGAAATGAATGTCTCTCAGCTGTCAGTAATGGGCTTCAAATCCTCAGGGTGACTAACTTGTCAGGGTGGGGTCAGCCACATGAAGACATTTCATTACAGCTGGTGGCTTTATTCGTGGTGTTTCCACTGCTGATATCCAAGCTCCCTGAGAATAGGGGTTGTTTATTGCTATCGTTTTTGTTTTCTTTCTTGTCGTTGCTGTATCTACAGAGCCCAAAACACTGCCTTGAACTGAAGACCAACTGCATATATGTTTGTTAAATAATATGTGGGTTCACCTACATTGGAATCTCAGAAAGAGTTGTAGATATGAGGTCAAGGTAATAATTTTTTGTTTTGAATTCTGGATATTTTGTGTTCAAGATTCCAAGTTCATTCAATAGAAAATATTATGTAGGAACATTTGCCTTTGTATTTGTTGAGCAAGAGAAGGATATAGATATAAAAATGTGTATATTACACACACCTCTCCTTGGCCCAAAGTTGTGAGAGCCCAGCTGTTCTCTGCAGCTCCCAGTCACTGTTCACCCATCCATGGTCTGATTTCCATGGAAAATACACGTGGGGATACTGCAATACAAACAAACTGTATAATGTCTAGAACAAAGTCTTGACCCAAAATTTGAAACATCTTTGCAGAAAATGACATTTTACTTAGGATATAATGGTTAATTTAATTAAGCAGAAAAATATGTCATACTGTTCAGAGTTAAAAATAAGTCTGCCAAATCTATTCATTTTTCCTGTAGCATTAAATTGAGTCAAATCTCTGTAAAGTATGTGAAATCATTGCATATATAATTTTTGCTGAATTGTTGCTTTTAACATGTCACAGATTTTTTTTTGAAAATTTTTATTTTTTACTGTTCTCCTGGACAGCCTTTACCTGTCCTTCAACCTAGCTCCTCAGCTGACCCTTTTACTGTGATGCCCACACTGATGGCACAATGGGCAATTCGATTTTTCTAGAACATACTGTGTGGATGCTGATACCTTTAAAATTTATATATTTACTTATGTGTACACCCTGTGGACCAAGAAGACTTCTTCTGTAAGTGGGAGATCACAGTAATCATGCATAGCATGACGGAATCAGTGTCCAGGAATCAGACCATGGATCTCTGAATAGTGACGGGTGAGTTGCAGAGACCAGCTGGACCAGAGAGTTTTGTGTCCTCCAACCAGCATGGGGATGCTCTGAGACTGCCTTGTGGTTCATACTCAGATGCTCAGTAAGAACCATTCTATCAAAGAAATCCAGGCCTTGGAGCTAAGGCACTGTGCTCACTGATGAGTTCTCAGCAGCTGTGTCTTCTCTGGCCTGGCAGAGTTCCCTGAGCAGTGGCCTTTGTACGGTCTCAACAGATGCTTCCTCCCTGGGCCCTCACAAGAAGGAATGCAAATCTACCTCCTCTTCAGACAGCAGTGTGAGCTGAGCTCCTGCCACAGGGCTCAGGGAGGGGCTGAGCAGCCAATGGATGGAAACACATTTGCATGAGCAGCTCCCCCTCTGCAGAGGGTGGCAAGAAAAGGAGGTCTGGGGTGGCCCAGTCCCACTGTGGGTGCATGGGCTGTGTCCACCATGGCCTGGACTCCTCTTCTCCTCCTGATCATCTCTCACTGCACAGGTAGGAACAGACCTCAGAGACTAAGGGCAACCACCCAGCCTGACTCTGGCCCTTCTGGCAAAGATCTCTGAAAAGCTTTACCCTCATCCCTGCCTTTCTCTCATGAGTGTCTGCATTTCCAGGTTCTCTCTCCCAGCCTGTGCTGACTCAGCCATCCTTTCTCTCTGGATCTCCTGGAGCTTCAGCCAGACTCACCTGCACACTTAGGAGTGACATAAGTGTTGGTAGCAAAACTATATACTGGTACCAGCAGAAGTCAGAGAGCGCTCCCAGGTATCTCCTGTACTACAACTCAGACTCAGATAAGCACCAGGGCTCTGGAGTCCCCAGCCGCTTTTCTGGATCCAAAGATGCCTCTGCCAATGCAGGGCTTTTACTCATCTCTGGGCTCCAGTCTGAAGATGAGGCTGACTATTACTGTATGATCTGGCACAGCAGTGCTTCTCACAGTGACACACACAGATGGGGAAGTGGGACAAAAACCTCACCCTTTCTTGCTCTTGTTCTGTGAAAATTTTAAAATTTTAAAGTAACTTGCCTAGATACAAACTGTATTTGTAAGTACATTTGAGTTGTAAAAGGCTCCTCTCAGTTTTCCATTTGTTGTTTCTGAAGTCTCAGAAAATGAAAAATAAAACAACATGACCTGATGACACTGAAATACTGTCTCGTCCAAATGTGCTAAAACCAGTGTCCAGATCACAAGGTCAGCTTTTCCTGCATGTGGAGCAGCAGAAACACTGGACATTCCCATGGAAATGGCTACTGAGGCCTCCCAGAGAGAGCTCCTAAGTTTGTGACCTAAGTCAGCAGTCATGGATCTTCAGGGGTCCCTGCCTGATTCTTCTACTCCACACAGCCTCCTTGACCAGCTCTGGGCTCCAGCCTGAGGGTGAGGCTGATTATCACTGTCACACAGCTGTGCCCAGACTTTATGTCACCAAGGGTTTCAATTCCATGGAGAAGTGAGAGAAAGATCTGCCCCCACTCCTCCTGACTGTCCCATCCCTCCCCTATCCCTGTGACCAACACCAGTTCATGCTAGGGCTTCTGCTCTCACTCATGCTACTGAAAGCAGAGCATGGGTTCAGTGAAAATCACTGCTTTTCTTACTGGTCTCCCAGTGCAAACAAATTTCATTTGTTTTTTGAAGCCAAAGAAGCTGCCAATACATGGTGGGTGTGGAAGGAGTGGGGACAAGAAGAAAGAAGAATCCAGCCTGTATGACCCAGAGATCCAGGTGTCTTCTACCTGGCCCACAGGTGTCCCCTCCTTTTGGTGCAGCTGTTCTTGTTACTTCCTGAGCAGCAAAACTGTGGGAGATACGGGTTCTGTCTTTCTTCTCAGATTACACCTTCAAGGATGCTCTGAAGTTTTAGGTGTAGCATGTAAGCTCCCCATGGTTCTCAGGAGTCGGTTCTCAGAACCACACATGCTCGATTTCCCCTCTTTAATGTCTCAAATCCTGGTTATTCTTGCTCTGTATGTTTTTAAAAATCAATTGTTTGTGATGGCCCTGGATAAACCTCAGTTCTTTGGGCCTAGAGCTTATGGTTCCAACCTACATTATCATAGGTGATCTCAATATTCCATGAACATTTCCCAACCATCCTGTTATTCTTCACTGTCAGTTATGAAACATTTACCAGACAACCTTGATCAGGGATCAACATGTATGAGTGTGGCAGGGGGGACAGGCCACTGGGACCCCTTACCCAGGAGTGGCAGAAAAACCTCTAAAGAGGAGGGTCTGTTTATAGCTTGATATGAATATAGCATATTCATATCAAGCCCCATGCCCAGAGCAATTTAAAAACAGACTCAAAAATCTTTATGATGTCAGAGTGTCACAAGAACATAACGAGTGCCAGGCTAACAACGAAGGACAAAGAAAAACCCAGAGTGGGAAGCAAGAGCAGAAAACAATTTTTCTGGACAACATCATATTCTCCTGGCAAAAAGACACCAAATTCCAGAGCCTGTGCCATGAGAGTCGGGGGAATCTAGCAATAAACCCTCACACCAACAATAACTAATAATAATAAGAGCAACTATGGAAGAGACACACGTAGAATTTTTAACAGGTTAGAACTAATGGAGTAATCTAGGGGAGTAGCCTTAAACTTAGGCTTAGATGGTGCTGGATTGATAATGACCCCAGGAACCTGGGGAAAAAATCTTGAACGCCCAGTTGTAATGAAATATCTGGTAACAATAAGGATGGTACAATACTGTATGGATTGGGCAGCTCAGAGATCAAGAGTGACCAAGAGGCAAATGATGTCTCAGCTCAAATCCGTTGGAGAACAACAACCATTCTACTGTCCTGAGTGGTGGCACAAGAAAGATCCATCTGCAATAGTCAGGATGCCCCTCCAGGAGAGCTGGGCAGTGTCAGAGGGGCTGGAGGACCTGGGAACCGAGGCCAGCAGGAGGCGCTGTGGGACTGGTCCTGAAAGGAAAATACTCCACTGGCTCTCACATACATGAGCAGGCAGAGTCCTCCCTGAAGTGTGATCCTTACTTACTTCACATCTGATGAAAAAGTGTGATCTGACACCTGTTTGAGAATAAGAAAAAGTTTACGAAGAGACACTGTCAGTCCCGAAATTGAGGACTCAGGCAGTTCAATTCTGGAGGCATATTCTTCATGCCCTGGATCTGCCTCCAGTTCAATCACTGAACAAGAAAGTCTTTCAGGGGCAAATATAAGGACTCTTAGGGGCACTCTTCATTCCTTACCCTCCTGGCATTTAAGTACAAGTGTTGGCTCATCCTATTCGTCCTGGCTTGTCTCTTTACTCATTGTGTCCTAGGCCAGCCTGTGCTAGCTCAACTGTCCACAGATCTCTCTCTGTCTGTTCTCTCTGAGGGTGTGTGTGAGTGTGTGTGTGTGTGTGTGTCTGTGTGTATTCAATGATCAAACATTCTCATTCAAAAGTCCAAGCCATGTGGCATCATGAGACAGTGCTACCAAACATGAAGAAAAATTTTTCAAAGACATAAAATAGAGGGCACATGGTCTATAGTTATTTCTGATTCCAGAAAAGAATGGCACACAATCAACATGAATAGTAGTAGATATCAAAACTATAGTACAATCTCTTTTTTTTCCCATAGACTCAAACTCTCTTTAGCATATTGGCAAGCAGTATCAATGTTCTACTGACAAAATTCTCCTTGACCACCATGAAGAAATTGGACTGAGAGCAGGATATTTCTGAAGTCTCTGGAGGAAACGTAATGTGACTATGGGAGGAATGCACATAGGAAGAGGTAACGAACTACATGTCCTGTGCCCCAACAAAAGTCCTGGGCTGTCAGTGCTTATTTCTGACTCATTGTGGGGATCACAGGACACACTGCCATTAGACTCATGAGACCTGATACTGCATCCCACAGTGGGCAGCCTGCATCAGTGTGGTTTTTCAGGGATAGAAACACAGCCACAGCCAACTCTCACCTGCTCAAGCAGCATCTCCCAGGAGCCAGCATAGGCAGGGTCATGCTCTGCTTCTTCCTGTACTATGTCCTAGAGCCCTGAGTTTTCCCTCATTCGGTTTTCCAATCTCCACCTTTTCCACTGGTTACCAGGGACTAGGGGAGTGGGAATAAGAAGTAAATGTTTGAAGGATAGAAACTTTCCATGTGGGATGATGAGAAAGCTATGGAAATTAATAATGGTGATGACTGTATCACTTTTTTTTTTTTAGAGTGGGGTCTTGCTCTGTTGCCCAGACTAATGTGCAGGGTTGCAATTATAGCTCACTGCAATCTTACACTCTTGGGCCTAGGCAAGCCTCCTGCCTCAGACTCCTGAGTAGATGGGACTACAGGTGCAACTCACCATGCCGACAATTGCATTACATTGTGAATGTACCGAACACCACTGAATTCTGCAGGTAAAGGTGATTTCAAAGGCAAATGTTATGTTGTGTTTATTTTGTGACAATTAAAAATATACTTTTTCAGATGTCAAAATGTGTAAAATATTATATTCATAAATTTTTCCTTTTCACACTTAAATATTTATTCTATTCTAACTCATTCCCATTAATTAAAAATGGACTGTATTTACTGATCATTATAGACTAAGTTGTTCATAATTCATAGTTCATTGAAGCCTTAACCTCCAATGTTACTGTATTTGGAGACAGAGCCTTACAGAGAGTTATTAGGATGAAATGAGAGTATAAGGACCGGTATCCTTATAAGAGGAGGATATTAGAGCATGGACAACATAAAATGAGATGGGGACACAGTGAGAAGGTGGTCATCTACAAGTGTGGACACATCTTCTGTATGCATTGAATACCAGTTAAAGGGCTCACCTGTCCTATAACAAAAGTTGGAACAGGTGCCTTGGGAAGGCTCCAGGATTAACTGATCTAGTCACTGCATCCCACTGCGGGACCCCAGAGGGAAAGAAGCATTGTGGAGATTCCCGAGACATTAGAAACTGAGCCTAAGAAATTTCCAGGAGACCCACTTGGGCTCCAGGTGAAGCCGGGGCCCAGGGAGACTGTCTGAGCCCTCAGTGTGAGGCAGTGCCTGGCCACTAGAGGGAGGCAAACTCTGTGAATCCTAAGGGACCTGCGCTCTTGCTCTGAACCCCACCCTTGTTAATCACCAGCCTTGGGACCGATCAGATTTGCATGCAGGGTGATGCCCCTGCCCAGTCCTACGCTGAAGGAATAAGAGGCTTTGGGGGCTCAGGCACAGCTGAGAGGCTGGAGAACACAGCATTGCAGCATCTCCACCATGGCCTGGGCTCCTCTGCTCCTCACTCTCCTCAGTCACCTCACAGGTCAAGGTGAGCAATGGACAGGGCCTCCAGAGGGACCACCACCTCCCAGCCCCCTGCTCCCTACCCCTGTTCTTTCTCCTTAACAGCTCATCAGCCACCCACCAACCATAAGGCTCATGGGTGTCTGTGTTTCCAGGGTCCCTCGCCCAGCCTGTGCTGACTCAGCCACCCTCCATGTCGGCCTCCCTGGGAGCCTCGGTCACACTCACCTGCACCCTGAGCAGTGGCTACAGTAATTATGAGGTGGACTGGTACCAACAGAGACCAGAGAAGGGTCCCCGGTTTGTGATGCGAGTGGGCACTAGTGGGATTGTAGGATCCAAGGGGGATGGAATCCCTGATCGCTTCTCAGTCTCGGGCTCCGGACTGAATCGGTACCTGACCATCAAGAACATCCAGGAAGAGGATGAGAGTGATTACCACTGTGGGTCAAACCATGGCAGTGGGAGCAGCTTCGTGTAACCCACAGTGACACAGGCAGAGGGGAAGTGAGACAAAAACCTCCTGGCTGATCTGCCCTGTCTTTGCTTTATTCCCATTGGCCTCACTCACAGTTCAGAGGGCTGTCTCCTCACCGTGTATTTAAAGTTTGCACCTTCCTAGACATTTCGCAGTTCTGATTCACAGCAAATGT